GTGTGTGTGTGTATGTTGGTTTTTTCTTATTTTATATAAACAACTGAAATTATTTAATTCTGCTCTTAAAAGAATATTGAGAAAAAAATACATGTAGTTCCATATACTTTCTTGGACTCCAGCAATTAAATTTTAAATTTATTGTTATTAATAATCAATCTCCTTCATTACTAATAAATAGTCATTATCTTAATCTGTGCACTGTTCTTTGATCATGGACCAGAAGAATTCTTCTCTCTTTATCTTATGAAAGAATTGCAGAAGAACAAAATAATCTCTCATTTTAAGCAAATAATAGGACAGTGCTCAAAAAGAAAAACAAGCAATGAAAAATTAGTTTATTTTCTGTATCTGAGAGTTAGAAAAATGGAACTTTCTTAAAGAGTCATTCAAGAGAAGTGTTAAGGAATGAGGTAGAGAAAAAGAGCAACGGAGACCAGCAGAACCTGGAAGCTCGGGATCTAACGAGAATGCTATGCTCTGGACAGGTGGAGGACACTCTCTAGACAAGGTGCTTGAGAAGCAAACCTAGAGAGGTGTCTACAGGGACCCTTCCACTGTGGTCTTCAAAGTGAGAGGGTTGGGTAAAGGAGACACACACACACCCCCGACACACCAGAGCCTGTTTTCAAACAGCCAATGATTTCTAACCCATCCCCTTCACTCTACCGCTCTGATGGTGAGAGACAGACAGACAGACACCCCACACACACCCCCCCCAACACACCATAGTCTGCTTTCAAACTGCCAATGACTTCATCCCAAGTTGCTTCACTCCACCGCTCTGGTGGTGAGACACACATAACCCCCAACATACCAGAGCCTGTTTTCAAACTGCCAATGATTTCTTCCCCAGTCCCTTCACTCCACCGCTCTGATGGTGCAGTGGTTGGGTGCACAGCCTCTAACTGAAAGGCCAGTAGTTCTAACTTTCTCAGTTCCATCAGACAAAGATGAGGCAGTCTGCATCTATACAGAGTGAACCTTAGAAATCCTATGAAGCAGTTTTACTCTGTCCTATCAGGTCACCAGGAGTCAAAACTGACTGGATGGCAAAAAGTTTTTGCTGGTTTATTTTTCTTGTTTTAGGGTTTTGTTCATTCCTGCCTGTCTGCAATGCACGACTAAAAGAGATGGATAGGGAAACTAATTCTAAATAGGAACATGAATAAACCAAAACAGCACAGGGGAACCGAATATGCAAACAAAAATGAAGTTAATCAATCCAACACACTTCAGTTTATCCAACACAGCCACATAATGGTAAATGACCTGGGGGAAAGTACATAACTCTCTCTAAACATTTATTTTGTCATTTCTAAAATTGGTGAAATTAGGCCTTCAGCACAGTGTCAGTGAAAATATCAAATGAAATCAAGTTTAAAAGTAATGCACTTGACCCAAAGTCCTGAATGTATGTGGACATTCCTTTTCTCCTGGTTTATCTTAAGAAGAAGTGAACTAAGAACTAGCTATCCCTTATTTATCTTTATGTACAAAACCGTATTTGGACTACAGAAGGTATTTGAATATATTTTTCTTTTTTAATTAATGGCAAACTGAAATGTAACTGATACTGAAGTTGCTGATCTTGTTGTTATATTCTGTCGAGTCGCTTGCAACTCATAGCGACCCTATGTGCAACAGCCCTAAATTCTGCTCTGTCCTGTGCCAACCACACTGTCTCTGACACTCCCATCCCGATTACCCCAGTCACTGAATCAATCCACCTCATAGAGGGTCTTCCCCTCCTGCACTGTCCCTCCACCCTACCAAGCATGATGTCCCTCTCCAAGGACCGGTCCCTCCTCACAACATGTCCAAAGTATGTTAGATGGAGCCTCAGAATCCTTGCCTCCAAGGAGCCACCCGGTTTAACCTTTTCCAGGATGAATCTACTTGTTTTCCTAGCAGTCCATGGTACCCTCAATACTCTTTTCCAGCACCACAGCTTAAAGGCATCAATTCTCATTCTACCCTCCTTGGTCATTGTCCAACTCTCTGATGCATAACAAGTGATTGCAAAGACCATGGCCTGTATCAGACACACCTTAGTCTCCAGAGACACACCATTGCTCTTCAGTACTGTGGAGAGGTCCTTAACAGCAGACTTTCCCATGGCAATATGCTTTTTAATTTCCTGGCTACTGGTGCCAAGAATGTTGACTCTGGAGCCAAGCAAACTAAAGCTGTGAACAATCTCAATCTCTTCAGCATCCATCCTGAGCTGCCAATTGGCCCAGTGGTGAGAATCTTTGTGTTCTTGACATTGAGCCTCCACTATATTGGAGGCTACAGTCCTTGACCCTCTGCAGCAAGCCCTTCAGTTCCTCTTCAGTTTCAGCAAGCAGGGTTGTGTCATCTGCATAACGCAGGTTGTTGATAGATCGTCCACCAATCCTGAAGTCACATTTCTCCTCATAGAGCCCAGCCTCCCAGATAATCTGTTCTGCATACAGGTTGAAAAAGTATGGAGATAGGACACATTCCTGGCATATGCCTTTCCCAATTTTGAACCATGCAGTGTTTCCTTGCTCTGTTCTGACGACTGCTTCTTGGTTCAAGTATAGGTTTCACACTAGGCACGATCAAGTGTTCTGGGATTCCCATTCTTCTCAGAGTCAGCCACAGTTTGTTAAGATCCACACAGTCAAACGCCTCTGCAAAGTCAATGAAACACAGATATACATTCCTCTGGTATTCCCTGCTTTCAGCTAAGATCCATCTAACATCAGCTACAATATCCCTAGTACCTTGAACCCTTCTAAAACCAGCCTGTACTTCTGGCAGTTCTCTGCTGATATGATACCAAAGAGAAAACAAAAATTCACTCCCTAGCATCAGCAGTCAGAAAAATCAAAAGATGACTTGAACTGGGAAAACCTACAGCCAAGAATCTCTCCAGAGTACTGAGAAGCAACAATGTCAGTATAGAGACTAAGGTGCACCTGATCCAGGCCATGGTCTTTACAACTACACGCTATGCATCAGAGAGCTGGACAATGACTAAGAATGGCAGAAGTAGAATAGATGCCTTTGAGTTGTGGTGCTAGAGAAGAGTCTTGAACATACCATGGACTGCCAAGAAAATAGGTCTATACTAGAGAGAATGAAACCAAGTCTCTCCTTGGAGGCTAGGATTTTGAGGCTCCATCTCACATACTTTGGGCACATGGCCAGGAGGGATCAGTCCTTGGGGAAGGACACCATGCTCGGAAGGATGGAAGGAAAGTGCAAGAGAGGAGTGCAAGAGAGGAAGACTCCAAATGAGATGGACTGACACAGTAACTGAGTAATGGGGGTGTGTCGGAATCAGTCAGATTGGCTCAGGACAGGGCAGAGCTGTTGTACAAAGGGTCGCTATGAGTCACTGGCAATGTGACTACATGTAACAACAACAGTCACCGATACATTTAACAGTGACATTCTTTTCTTTACTTTTACCCTGAAGGACACTGTTCACAAACTCAAAAAAGCTGAGTACAAAATGACATGTATCCTCTTACTTATGAAGAGAAGCCCTGTTTTCTTTTGTTTTTTTGTGGTTTTGTTTTTAAAAACAAGTCTACTCATTTTCTTTTAAATGTATCACATAGCTCAGTGAGGTTAAAGGGTTAAGTGTTTCCTGGATTATGGATTTATATTTTTAATTTTTTTTTCTTTCACAGATCTCATAGTTATTCTGACTTCAATATTTCAAGTTGACAACAGATCATCCTTAATTCTTAGGAAGAGATAGACTATCTCCGCTTTAAGAAGACATACATGCTTTCTTGTAAAGTTAACTTTAAAACCTCTCTGTTTCATATATGCTTTATTTCAGTGCAGAAGTGTTGCTTTAGGACATTAGACAGTGTATGCTGTATGTATGTGGGGAACAGTGAATGCCTTCCACAAAATTGGTCATGTGGAAGCTATAAAATGTTGGCTTGTGACAGCTGCACTGAGTCGACTGATGGTAAGGGAATTGGTGATGTCAAGACAACTAGATTCCTCCAGCTTTAATTTTATGCGGTTTTTTTTTTTAAGGTCTTTAACCTCCTCAGAGATGAATGAAGCTGGTCAGGAAAGCTCTGAATGTGAATTTATTAAAATTGAGTTTAGAAGCAAAGACTTCTTGATATAGGTCGTCCTTAGTCTACCTAACTGAATTTATTACATGACCTATAAGTTTATTAATATCTGTTTTTAAAAAATTTTAGAAGGATTCACATTTAACATAGAATATTTCTGACCTGTTTTAGTTAACTGCACTATAGACTATACTTTGTAATGAAGTACTCTTTCTTGGCTCTGTTGGTATACACATTCAAACTCATGTATAAACACATAGAGAAAAAGAATTAAGAGTGATCTGGGCAAGTGTGCAAAGGATCTACCTAGGCTAGGAGAAATGGTCTGTAAGAGGGATTCAGAAGGAAAGACAAGCCCTGGATGCCTCAGGCTGCCTTCTGTATTAAAAAGAGAAGTGGCAAATGTCAGGAAACCAAGCATAAGCATTAGAGGAATAGTAAAGCCTCACCTGTCACAATATTAAAAGCAGAAAGGCTGCTCGGAGCTAGGGCATCAGGCAGTGACAATTGCCTTTGATGGACCATTTTTTCTTGTGGCTCCCAGGACTCTTAGGTTTAAGGATATAGTACAAACAGAAGATGCTATGCTTGAGTCATGCAGATTTCTAAGTTTATGTCATTGCTTTGACCTTTGGATGCTAACAAAGCTTAAGAGTGAATGGAATTAAAATGTAGACATTCTTATACCATGAAGTGTCAAGATAAGCATATTTGCGATGATAAAATAAAGACCACACTATTCTCATTTTAAATCTGCAACAGTTCCCCCAAAAGATTCATTTTGGCTGCATAAGAAATTCATCTGCAACTGTAACAGCATGAAGCAAACACTATGCCTGAGGAAATAAAAACAAACAAGAACATACTGGCAGAAGTTTATCCAACATGAGACATTCACCAGAGACTCCTCAGAAACTACATGCTTACCTTCACACACAGGGCAGCATTCCCCAGGCACTTTTACAGGGTTCATGCAGCTCTGTCCACAGGCTGTCGCGACGCAGTGGGATTCTCCATTGATGCACTGGCAGAAGGTACAATCATCTTCCCTCCACCGGTCTCCGTGGGCACGGATTTGGCCATTGGCATAGCAACCAGCAGGCTTATTAAAAGGATACACTGGATCTAAAGGAAAAACATGAGCTCAGAGTAAGACTGCAGGTATTCTAAATCTTACCTCTGCATGTACCTAGAGACATTTTTTCCTAGAGTCTAGTCATTGGCAGTTCTTTTCCAACTGAGATCAGCAGAAGATCTGCGTTACATGAGATGTCTCTAGGCGTCCATGCAAAAGCAGCTGTCACATGGATTTACGTCTGCCTGTCCTAATGCTGCAGTCAGGCCAGGGGATCTGCGGTTTAGAAAAACCCAATGGGCTGTTTTATAGCTTCACAGAGTTAGAAAACTTGGAGAGAGCTGTGGGTGGTAATTAGAAAGCACAAGTCTATTTTTCTTTTTTGACAATTTCCCCCCCCAGTTGTTCATGTAAGTGTTTCTCACACTTCTATTTTAGCACCTGTAAAGTGGTAAGAATAACGTCTCCTGCTCACTTAAGCGTGATAGTGCTCCCTTAGGACTAAAAGCACTGGATTTCTGTGACACACCAGGGTTCAGGAGGGCCTGGTTGTGGCCTTGTTCATTACAAGGTGGTTGACACCACAGGCCAGAGTTTGTGACCAAAAGGGCAGGCGGTGGGACTTGGACATTTTTCTCCTCAAAAGCTGAGGAGTCAACAGCAGCCAAAGCTGGAAGATAGAAGACAAGGCTGCTATACAGATGGAACAAGGTGTCTGAGGTTATCGACGGAGCATGAATATTGCATGCAAAATCTTTGTGTCCCTGTAATGAGCACTAGATAAATCACTCCACTGCCTTTTTCAAAAATACATAAATACTGGTCTCAATGCAGCAGTTTTGCTGTGCTGGAAGGAAAGCCCAGGCTGTTTTGAATTTAGCTGTCTTTATTCCATAGTGGTTACAGGGTGTTTTAAGAGGGTCAGAATTTAAAATATTTAAAATACAGTCACAGTATTAGAGATAGCAAAGGCCAAGAGAACTGCGCCAGACTTTATAAATGCTTTTATAAAAAGTCTTACACAACATACTTTACATTTCCACTTTTAGCCTGGGTCTGAATTCCAGGAAGTGAGACATAACCGGATCTGCCCAGGCAGCTCATTATGACTTAACACACAGGTTCCTATCTATGTCCATACACCACTAACAGCCACATAATTTCAACCACTACTACAAACCTGGGGCAGCTAGAGAGCAAACTAAATGAGAAGGGTGAAAATTTGATCACATTTAAAAAACATTTTATCCCCAATGACACTCCAGTGTTGCTAAAATAACATTTTAACGGAGGGGAAAACATGCTTTCATTGTTCCAACTATTTTATTCTAAGTCAGGCAGGTAATTTTTAGAGGAAAAAGAAATGCTCCAAACATTTTATTGTCATGATAAATGAATTTCAAATACCTATGGGGGGGGGGAGAAAGGACTGTAGGGAAATGGACAAGGACATCGACAGTGGCATGTGGTCACAAGGTGAGCTCTGGCACAGGGCTGGCACAGGGGACCTCAGGCAGAAGCATGAGAAGCAGCAGGTTGAGAAGGCTCAGTGGTGCGGTGCATTCTGAAGCACACCAGTGGCCTGGCTCCACCGAAAACTCAAGATTACTCTATCAACTTTTCTGAACTTCGCATTCTGAAATGTCTATTCTTTGTGAGCATCAGAGATGGGAGAGCAGAGCCTGTCAGAGGGACACTGAAACAACAATTCTTGGAGAGAGGGAGGTAGAGAAAGCCGGTTCCCACGAGCACCCCTATGTCGAGGATGGCATTTGATGGGCCCTGCATTGATGGCAATGGCCCACCTATGACCTGCACACATTTTCAAAGGAGTTGTGCTGACCTCAATTTCAGGGGCATGGGTATGGGCAAGGAGGCAGCGTGCCCTCTGAGTGACAGGCTGTGACTGGGGCTATCTGTTGTGGGTGAATGTTCGCAGACCACCTGGAAAGTTCTAATAGCAGGGTGGAAAGAAACGCTCTGAGATTTGCTAAGGGACAGCTAGATGCACAAAGGTGAAAACCAAAGTGCGTCCCTGACATCTCCTGTGAACATGGACATAGCTAACATGCTCAGCTGCTAACTCAACAATGGTAGGAGTCAAAATCCAACCCAAGGCATGCTGACTGGAACTTCTATGAATTCCTGAGGGAAAACGAGCTACTCAAAGTCACGAGCAGTATAAATCTACTCTCATACATGGGTCGCCAGGAACTGGAAGTGACTCCTTGGAAACTGGTGGGTGGACTATACCAGCGTACAATTTCCACTTAAGATTTACTTAACCTGTGTCCTAAAAGAAAAGTTCCGAAGAGAGATCATCATGTCTTAACAAAGAGAATTTCTTTAACGTTTCCTCTACTTTTGGATGTGAGTAAAGCAGGCCAATTTTGACATTAAAGCCGCGTAGCCTATCTACCTTTGCTTGCCCTTGAATCCATGCCTTTTCTTACCTTCGCAAACTGGGCAGCACTCCCCTTCAGGCATGTAGTACCTCTCGCAGTTCAGCTCGCCACACTGGGCCATGAAACAGATGGAAACGCCCCCTTGGCACCGACAGAATCGACAGTTGTCCATTCGGAACATCTCTCCATCAAAATACTCCACGTTGTTGAACATACACACTGGCTTTGTCTCTGAAGGGAGTTAAAGCAAATCACACACGTTTTTGTGTGGTGCTCTTTTATCCATCTCATAACAGTCTCTAGAACATTCTGTCTAATAGCAGGAGGTCCTAACTGGGTAAAACTCACTACTCTTACTTAGTAATTCAATTTACTAAAAATAAAGCAAAATAAAACAAAACACCCCGTAACATTATTTAAGCCCAAGACTCAAAACTCAGGAAATTCTACACCAACTTCCTCTTAACCCTAAATGAAGATACTAGCTTACATATATGAAATGTGACTTAAAGAAATTATACTTGCTTTGTTAAATCTATTTCAAACACAGACGATTCTAGATCTACAGTAGACAGTTCCTGCTTTGAAAATTATGTT